ATAGAATAGAAAAAGAATAGAGAAAGCTAGTGTTAGAATCATTATTGCTCCTAAATGTTACTGTAGTCCACTGTATGAAGAGTTTTTGGGTGTAATATGTCACAGTTTACTTTATTTTGCTCTCATCGCTTACATAAATGAACTGTAGTGTCCTGCACCCACTAGTAACAAAATATCAACAATTATATCTGCTGTCTGAATGATTTTTGCTTTGACTGTAACTACATACCATTGTGAGAAATGCTTTGGATAAATGAATGAATAAATGAAATGAAACTACAGGAGTGATTTATTCCAAGCTCTTATATTGCTCGTTGGCACAGTACTAGTTAGTAGGTTAGTGTTCAGTCTCTCCTCGCTCCTCAGACATCAGGAGCAGCTTTAAACTGAACGTCAAGCTCACACTTGACCGCGCTGATGCTGTCGATGCTCGGCTTGCTCCCTACGTGAGGGTGCTTGTTTCCCAGGGGAAAAGTCTCTGACCTTGGGATGCTTCTGGAGCCTCCGGCGACTCTCTGCTGCTCCTCTTGAACTCTGGAAAGGTGGATCTCCTCAACAGCCGGAGGGTGCTCCGAGATCTGGAGCCGTGCTCAAACCCGGTTTTGCTTCTGCGTAACGGCTTGAGGCGCTCCGGAGCAGTGCTAGTCGGCAAACTGCACCTCTTCTGATAGTAACAGTCATCAAATCTTCTGACGGGCGCGTCAAACGCCAGCTTCTTGGCTTTCTCGAGCTCCTCTTTGGCGCTTTTGCTGAAAGGAGTTAATAAAATGCCAAGAGGACCAGAAGCGGGCGCACAACTCGTTTTGGAGGCTCTTGGGGAATAAAACAGCGGAGGCAGGTGATTGTTGGGGCATTGATGCTCTCTGTGTTTCTGAGGAGGTTTTGGAGTGAAAACACCAGAGAACATCCGGCCTTGTGGTGATGAAGCATCACCTTCCCTCTCGTATTCCTCAATGGAGTCCATCGACTGGATTCTCTTCCGCGAACTGATGGATCGCTTACGGGTTAAACTGATGGGAAGTCGAGTCCCGTCTTCAAATGCATGGATCTGGAGAGGCTTCTCCTCGTGTTGAGCTTCACTGATGTTCACAGTGGAGAGTTTCTCAGCTAGAGCATCACCATCGTGAACTCTCCTGTAGACCGCGCTGATGCTGTCGATGCTCGGCTTGCTCCCTACGTGAGGGTGCTTGTTTCCCAGGGGAAAAGTCTCTGACCTTGGGATGCTTCTGGAGCCTCCGGCGACTCTCTGCTGCTCCTCTTGAACTCTGGAAAGGTGGATCTCCTCAACAGCCGGAGGGTGCTCCGAGATCTGGAGCCGTGCTCAAACCCGGTTTTGCTTCTGCGTAACGGCTTGAGGCGCTATGAACATATTCAGGTGAGGTAACCGGTTTACTGCTAACTGCATGGATCTGGAGAGGCTTCTCCTCGTGTTGAGCTTCACTGATGTTCACAGTGGAGAGTTTCTCAGCTAGAGCATCACCATCGTGAACTCTCCTGGAGTGCCTCAGCAGCGCCTGCAAGCAGCCAGTGTGTCTGAGATACCTGGCCACCTCCACTGCAGAGTTGCCCACCTTGTTTTGCCGCTCGATCTGGAGACCCAGCCTTTTGAAAGAGCGCACCAGGAACTCCACGACGGCCGAGCGTCCGGCCACGGCGGCGTACATGAACGCGGTGTTCCCCCAGGCGTCCACTGCCTCGGGATCCGCGCCGTTCTTCACCAGGATCTTCAACGCGTCCAGGTGTCCCATCTCGCAGGCGTAGCTCAGCGGCGTGCGGCCGCTCTCGTCCGGGAGATTAACGCTCGCCCTCTGCAGCAGAAGATTCACGAACCTGCATCTCGCAGGCGAATCCTGGAGGAACACGGCGGAGATCAGAGGCGTCTGCGCCCCTTCCGTCTCGGAGTCAACGATTTTCCCATCCAGAGCGTCTAAGACGAACCTGGCGAGGTGGAGCTTGT